GGTGACCCCAACCACATTGTTCCCTATTGCCCAGACTATAAGATACTAAAAGGTAACAACCAGTAGAGGTCTCAGTTGCCTCTACGGGAACTTCGGATGTAGTAAGAAAGACATCCTCCCATCCGAAGGTTCCACTGACAGAGACTGAAGAGGAAGTCAGTCCCCACCTAGTTAACTATCCAGAGGGAGTAAGTGTGTGCACCTCTCTCGGTGGATCCCTCGTTGACATGGGTGATGAGTTGGCCGCTCGTCGCCAAGCCTGGACTGAGATGAAAAACGAAGAGGACAGTTAATAATTGCAGATCTTGAAGTAAATAAAGTAAGAATTGAAGGAATGATAGATAGTGGATCAACTCGCAGATATATAAGTAAGAACGGGTTGAAGAAGTTGCGTCTCGGGCTGAAAGTTAAATAGTTAGATGAGCCCGTAATGAGTAAATCAGCTAATAGTACTATAACTGTAATTGATAGATATGTTGAAGGGGTCAAGGTATACTTCCGACTCGAAGCAGAGGGGAAGGTGGAACGCGTTCTCCACTCTCTGACTCTCTTGGTGGAAGATAATCTCCCTTTTGACATTTTTTTAGGCATGGATTGGGGTGAAGCTGCAAATGCGGACATAAAGTTGAGGGACTATGAGTGTTGGTTCCCAAGTCCGCAGGGTGGAAAGAAAAAGACCGCCTATTTCATGAATCAGGGAAAGAAAGCAGTTTGGCTCATTGTTGTATGAGCGCCACCGGGTTCGCCCGCCATGTAAGAAAGTATAATCTGTATGATCAAGTGTTTGTTGCATATGTGCGCCCAGTTAGAGACCTATTAAACATCGCATTGAGATCATCCCAGGAAGTCAAATTCCTAAAGGGCCTATCTATAGAATGTCACCGAAAGAGTTAGATGAACTGCGAACCCAACTTGATGAATTGCTGGAAAAGGGGTGGATAAGACCTAGCTCCTCGCCCTATGGTGCGCCGATGCTTTTTGTGCCAAAGAAAGATGACGGGGTACGCATGTGTATAGATTATAGAAGACTTAATGAAATCACTGTAAAGAATGTTGAGCCATTAGCAAGGATTGATGATATTTTGGATAGAGTTCAGGGATGCAAGTACTTCACTAAGATTGATCTGAAGTCTGGCTACCATCAGATTGAGGTAGAGCCAAAAGACCAATATAAGACAGCCTTCCGAACAAGGTATGGGCACTATGAGTTCATTGTGTTGCCCTTTGGTCTTACTCATGCACCTGCAACCTTCCAAAGAACAATGAATGAGCTTTTTCGTGAATGGCTTGACAAATTTGTTGTCCTTTATCTCGATGATATTTTGATTTTTAGTAAGAGTCTGAGTGAGCATTGTGAGCACCTTCGACTTGTGCTAAATAAGTTGCGTGAGGCAATGTTGAAGTTAAACCCTAAGAAGTGTGAATGGGCAAAGGGTGAAGTGTTGTACCTAGGGCATGTACTTGATGGTGATGGGATCAAACCGGAGGATACAAAAATCGCAGCAATTCGAGATTGTCCTAACCCCCGCACTTTGACTGAGTTGCGGTCGTTCCTTGGGCTAGCCAACTATTATCGGAAGTTCGTTAGACACTTCACGATAATTGTTGCGCCCCTTCGCAGATTGCTTAAGAAAGAAACGATTTGAAAGTGGGATTCAGATTGTGCAACTTCGTTTAGACGCCTAAAGAAATGTCTGATTAACTATCTGGTTTTGAAGGTTGCTGATCCTTCGTTGCCCTTTGTTGTCACAACCGACGCCAGTCAGTACGGGATAGGCGCTATACTCCAACAAGATGATGGGAATGGATATAGGCCTGTAGAGTTTATGTCCCGACGACCGCCTAACGAGAAGGTCGCCGCTTCTACGTATGAAGAGAGTTGTATGCTCTTCGAGAAGCTCTAGATCAGTGGCGACACTATCTCTTAGGACGCCACTTCAAGGTGTACTCAGATCATGAGACACTTCGCTGGCTTAAAACGCAGGCCCGGATGACACATAAGTTGACTAGGCGGACCGCAGAGATTGATCAGTATGATTTCGAGCTAAAGCCAGTCAAGGGTTAGTATAACGTTGTTGCTGACGCGCTAAGTCGAAGATCTGATTTCTTCGGTGCCATTGTAACATATCTAGACGTGGGCACCGATATGCAAGAGAAAATTAGAAGTGCGTATTCCACAGATCATGTCTATGGCGCTATGATTAAACGTGTACAAGAAGTGCCACAAGAGTTTCCTAACCATTGTATAACACAGGGACTGTTGTTTGAAAGAACGGATGTGCACGACAGGCTTTGTATTCCAGATGTGGAAGAGATCAAAAGTCTGATCTTGGGGGAATGTCATGATACCGAAGACCATTTTGGATGGAAAAAAACTTATTCCAATCTTTTGCGTTCCTACACTTGGCCTCGCCTGAAACCCGATTGCATTGCGTATGTGCAAGGTTGTCAAGTGTGCCAACGAAATAAGAGCACCACTCAACCTCCCCTTGGTCTACTGAAGCCTTTGCCAATCCCAACAGGTCCAGGAAACTCTGTGTCCATTGACTTTATGGACACCGAGGTGAAAAGCAGGAATGGAAAGACGCAAGTCATGGTCATTGTTGACAGATTTAGTAAGTATGCTGTATTCGTAGCCTTGCCGGTGGAAGCAAAAACGAAATTAGTAATCCGGGAACTCTTTAACCATTGGGTGAAAGATTATGGACATCCCTTAACAATTGTGAGTGACAGAGATTCACGGTTCACGAGTTAACAATGACAACAACTAATGAACGTCTATGGCTCTAAGTTGACTATGTCGTCAGGTAGGCACCCTGAGACAAACGGCTAGACTGAGCACATGAACAAGATTCTGCAACAAACGTTGCGTATGTACATACTTCCCGACCAGATTGACTGGGACGAACATTTGTCCAAAGTTGCTAGTGCCTATAACAACTTTGTTCACCTGTCTACATGCAAAACTCCGATGGAGCTGCATTTGGGATGGCGACCACGTAGGCCCATTGATCGCCTGAATCCGGACCAAGTACATAAGCTTCCACTAGGAACAAGTGAATTTGCGATACAGTATCAGAAGGATATTGAGAAAGTGAAGGAAAATATAGTAAAGGCACAACATCAGATGATAGAACAGGCAAATAAGCACAAAGGGCCTTCTCAGTTTGTTGTAGGTGATCTGGTATGGGTTAAATCTAAGGAGTTTGTTCCTGAAGACTCAGTGAAGAGAACATCTCTCAGAAATAAATACCTGCCTACAAAGGACCTTGGCACGTTCTTGATGTAATTGGGGATGTGGATAGACCTTCCTATGTGATTGAGATTCCTCTACATTTGCATACATATTCAGTATTCCACGCCTCAAAACTCTTACCTTGCGTGACAAATGAGTTGTTTCCCAGTCGCAGATCAGCGATACCTCCTAGTATGGATGGGAAATATGACGTGGATAAGATTGTTGCTGAAAGCACTCTTCAAACTGGACGTAGGGGCAGACCCCAGCGACAATATAAAGTAAGATTTGCATATCAGGACCCAAGTGAAGATCGCTGGTTCACAAGAGAAGAATTAATTGAATCTGCGCCTCATATTGTATCTGCTTATGAAAGAACGAGAAGAGGAATAAGTATTATAGATAGATGAAGGTTTTCTCAGAGGACTTCGAAACTAGGCCGGCGAGAGTAAAAGAGCCTTTACCCGATTTAGACCCTGACTGATGAGTGCAGCATAGTGGGGTCACTCGCCCAGAGCCCAACTCGTGAAAGCAGATCAAAGGACATGTTCTCTGGATCAAAAGTCACATCCTAGCTAAGCAAAAGTCGATGTCAAAGGTCACAGTTGTGCCCCTGGACGAACAGTTGCAATATTCAGATATGGGAGTCACATCTGTTCATCGAGGGGGTGTGCAAGTCACGTTTGTTCATGCAGGAGATGTGTCTGTACGTGCAGTATGTGTCTGTTCGTGCAGTATGTGTGTCTATTCGTGCAGAATGTGTCTGTTCGAGCAGTAGCTGTGTCTGTTCAAAGGAAGTCAAAAAGGTGAAGTCCCAGTCACGATTCAAGTCAAAGGGAGAGTCTAGATACAGATTGAAAGTCCGAAATTGAGGCCTGTAGGCCGCAGCAGCAGT